ATCCGGTTGATCTTGTGATTTCACCGCTCCCATGCTATTTGCTGGCTGTCCAGAGCTAATTCCCGGATCAACTAGATACAACTTTTGTTTTTGGGCTCCGATGGCCTGGATATATCACCATGTCTACAGAATAGTTCTTCACTTCGTTTCTTCCACTCTGCACATGCCTAAGGTAATCTAAAGTTGATTCCTTACGTACAGATAGAAGGAAATGTTGTTCCTGTGCCTCCTAACTACCAGCGATTATTGCAATCTTTATACATGTTTTATCACGCTACGGATTTGGCGGTTCTGATTAGATGCGATTAATCGAAGAACCATATCTGCGAACATTCTGCGAAGAGGAGCTGTGAAATCGCGGGAGAAACGGGGACCGCTGCCCCAAAGAGGCCTTCCCTTACCGCAACCCTCTTCTCCAATATAAACGGATATATCTCACGCGCATACCCCGCTCCTATACCTCTCTATATACTACATCCAGTCGACATATGACAGCAGCGGAGCAACGCCCAATCCATAATGGAGCGGGTTTACCAATCCGCCCGGAATCTCGCGTCCTAATAATAATGACAGGCGGCACGATATGCATGCAGCGCTCTGATTCCGGCTTCATCCCCGCACGCGGCTTTCAGAAGACTGCGCTGGAGCCTGTCCCCATCTTCAATGACAAATCCAACCCCAAACCCCTCGACGTCGTCATTAACGGCATAGGTGAGCGGCGACTACACGATAGCCTCCGCACACTACCAACCTCCTATGGCGGCCGCGTCCGCTACACAGTCTTCGAATTCGATGAACTGCTCGACAGCAGCTCAATCGACTCGAAGGGCTGGGCCCAAATCGCCCTCACTATCTCCTGGAACTACACGCTCTTCGATGCCTTCGTTGTCCTGCATGGTACGGACAGTCTGGCCTACACATGCTCCGCACTCAGCTTCATGCTGCGCAACCTAGGGAAACCAGTGATATTGACCGGGTCGCAGGCCCCCATGCTTGAGTTGCAGAACGACGCTACGAACAATCTCCTCGGCTCGCTGGTGATCGCGGGCAATTTCATGATTCCGGAAGTATGTTTGTATTTTAACTATAAGCTGCTGCGGGGGAACCGGGCAACTAAAGTGTCCGCGAGCGCATTTGCAGCGTTCGATTCGCCAAATTTCGCGCCCCTGGCTGTCACAACGGCCATGAAGACGAATGTGGCGTGGGATCTTGTACATAGGCCGACGCATATTGAGCATTTTAGCATCCAGGTCAACCTGGATACAACGCATGTGGCCTGTCTGAGGATATTCCCTGGAATTAAGCCAGAGATGGTGGACGCCGTGTTGCGGTTGGAGGGATTAAAGGGCCTTGTGCTCGAGACGTTTGGCGCCGGAAATGCACCAGGTGGTCAGGATAATGCAATGACGGACGTGCTCGCGGCTGCGATTAAGCGCGGGATTGTTATTGTAAATGTCACGCAATGTATATCTTCCATTTCCTTTCCTTCACTTTCCTTTTCCTTTTTCTTCCTTTTTTGAAAATTGGAACTCACCCACCATAACAAGGCCTTTCCGGTTTTGTCAGCCCAGTTTATGCTCCAGGAATGACCCTCTACCGTGCCGGCGTTGTTGCTGGTCAAGATATGACGACGGAAGCTGCATTGACTAAACTTGCCTACCTACTTGCTCTTCCCGGGGCAACCCCTCAATCTGTCGCGCGCGACATGTCCATCTCCCTTCATGGAGAACTTACTGAACACTCACAGCCACTTTTCGAACACCCAGACGGCGCTTTACCACAACGAGTCAAGAGTTTGGCTGCACTGGGCTACGCGATTGCGCATGGAGACCTCGAGAAAGTGAAGGATATCCTCCGTGGTGAGGAGGAGTGGATTTTGAATGATGCTGATTATTCAGGGAATACTCCATTGGTATTTATGAGTTTTTTTTTTTTTTTTTTTTTTTTTTTTAATTCTCTTTCCCTGCTTTACGTCAGCTACAGTTTCCATCCATTCCTTTCCCCGAGTGTGTGATTTTTACTGGGAGCGGACGTGGAAAGCAGGAAGAGGAAGAAGTAGTAATAGGGACGCCCCCGCGCGCCTGTTAAATCAAGCATGTCATCATCTACCCAACTTTGATCCCCTCCTACCGTCACCTGCTGAAAACAAACTTCCACAGACCCAAGCTTGTAGTCTTGCCGAGAAACCAGTGCAAGGGGAATATACAACTTATCTAGTCTTCAATCTTCTCTG